ACACACAAAACAATTACTAATGATGCATATGTAGGTCTTCTCATGTCCAAGACACCATAAAGGGTAAAGATGATAATCTTCGTAGATGCCATTAAAATACTCTATGCCTTATTTGATCCATTTTATCGGATAAGTCATCAAGTAACATAATATGATTAGTGTAACATAATATGATGTGACATAACAATGAAAAAAAGTTCTGTAACACACCTATCACCTTGTAAAATGCAGGCTGAAAATGATCAACCTTAAATTTGAACCATTACTATATAATTCTTCTTTCTTCCCTTCTAGACTAGCTTGAAGCATGTTTTCTACTCAGATTTCTGCCAAACACATTGCTAATCTAACCTGTCTCCATTGCCCATATGTTCCTTGTATGCTGTAAGAATTTAAAATAATAAAGAACTATTGTTAATAGAAGATTGTTAATAGCCTCGATAATAGGCTTTTGCTACATTGCTAATCTAACCCGTCTCCATTGCCCATATGTTCCTTGTTTGCTTTAAAAATTACAAAAAATAAAGAACTATTGTTAATAAAAGGTTGTTAATAGCCTTGATAATAGCCCTTTGCAACCTTATAAACAGGAAGATAATATAGGGGCATGTATCTCTAGTGGTGATCTTTCTGTTTGAATGATTTTATTTCTATTATGCCATATGATTAATGATGCAGATTCTGTCATTATATTTGATCCACATTGCTGCCAAAAAAAATAACAATGGCTCAATGTGACATTAATTTAGCATTTTATTATAGAACAGGTTTTATGCCTTTGGAAGGGATTCTTCTAGTTTGAGTCGGTTGTTAATATCCAGAGGTCCAGATTAGGAGGAGTGAAACTAAATGTATTGACACCATATAGGAAGCAGGGAACCAAATCAATTAGCCCATTTGCTGCTTAGGCATTTTACCTTCCACAACTTAAATTTGTAAACTTTGCCTGATTAATGGGAAGGCAAAGTTCCCTCTTGCTTCAGCCATTAGCTCATGCATCATGTTAACAGTCTACTGTGGTAATATTTCATATAGCTCTTGAGAAGTTTTGAAAGCACCCAGTGCAGTCTTCAGACAGATTACTGTTCTGCGATTTCTTAATGCTTCTTTTAAATGTTTGTTTTCAGTGCAATTGATCATGTTTAAGATTTCCATTCTGCTGTGCTAATTAAAAAGGAAACAAGGAGCCTATTTTGAGGCTAAGTGAATGTAAAGGACAAGGAAAATGCTTCTTCAATATGGTGAGAAAAATCAGAGTGACTTAATTATCTATGTCTTCTTCCTGTGAGGTACTGGGCTACCTCATCTCCTACCTATTTGGTCCAAGAGGTGTTTAGCTGCTTAGCAGTACCATGCCAAGTCAGAGCTGTATTTGGTTTTATAATGCCCAGGACACATTTCTGTGGCAGTCTTGATGGGAGCAATTCTAAGCAGGCTAAAGGCAGACAACCGTTCAGATCCCACAGCCGGGAAGCCCTCTCAGACAGCACAGACTGAAAGGCAATATCATCAGTCAGTGCATATTCTCATCCCTTTGATGACTTCATTGGAAAAAAGAAAATTTATACCAGAAGAGGATCTGTTTCTGCATGGGGAGACAGGAAATGAGTGGACAAGAGATAAACTCCTTTTTTCTAGGGAAGTAAAGAGATAGAGAGGTCCGGGGATGGAAACTGCCTTAATGAATAGGGGGAGGAGTGGAAAGAAATAGGGAGAGGAGTGGAGAGGAATGAGCTGGGAGGAGAAATGAAGAGGAGGAAAGAGGAAAAGGCTGAGGAGTGTTTGTTAACCTGCTGAAATAATCCAACATTTTCTTCTCCTGTGGTTGTCATTGCAAAAGATATTTAGTGCCACATTCTTAGCGCTGCATTGGATTTCTGGAAGCATTCCTGGAGGCTGCTTTGAAACACAACTTGCATCTTTTCAATATCTGCACAATAATGCCATAATACATGTGAACTGTGTGTGTTTGTTATTGAATGATTTAGGAATCCTTTGAAAACATCTATTGATGGCAAATGATATCAAACAAAATTTGAACTGATTTTCACTGGAACCAACTGATATTTTTGGGGGATAAAGCACAAAAAGAAAATAAAAACAAAAGAAACAAACAACAAACATGTTCACTGGCATCATTTATGGTAAAAGTGAACAAAGCTGTCTTTACAGTTAAATTGCAACTGTATTAGTTACAGATGTGTGGATTAAAAAAATGGAGGATGATTATTTGAAAAACAAATTTGCAGTATCCACTAGATGGCATACAGTGACCATGTTTAAGTCATCTTATCTTCACAAAACCCCCCATTCATAGAGTAAATAAAGAAGTGCATTATTAATTTATACCATTGCATCCACTCTACACCTAATATTTGTTTAGCCAGCTGTTTCCTCTAATCCTCCCTAAATGCCACTGATTGAAATCCTAAATACATTCAGACATTTTGCCCCTAAGAACATTTTGTTACCTACGAATTACAACCTACCTTTTCAAGTCGGTGACTGTGTGCTACAGTTACTAACTATGGAGCCAGAATGTCTAATAATTCCTTACAAGCAACAGAAGAAGCTTGTAATCTGAATTTTTTTTCAAAAATTTGCTTTTAATTTTTAGGTAGTTTTAATTGATAGACTAAACAGTTGGTTTAACATGAAATATATTAAATTAATATAGTTTCTACATCCAATGATAATTTACACAATTTCAGTAGAAAGACAAGAAACAAACATTAATTTCAGACCAGAATACTTAATTCTTGCCATGACTTGAAATATTTTGAATATGATTAAGTACAAATGATAGCAAAACCAACAATAATACTCTGCACTCATATAATAACTTACCTGAAGATCTCAGAGGATTTCATAAAGGCTGGGTCAATACTATTTCTCCCATTTAGCACATAGGCAGGGAGATTAAGTGATTTGAACAAGGATGTGGAACCAAAGTTTTGATTTCAGCTCTCCTTGCTCCAAAGTTCATGCCATAGCCAATAGGAAACACTACTATCCTTGTTAAGCCACATTTCTAATTTAAGCTTGGAGAGACTGGAGTCTTCTCAATTCAGCAGAACAAGACTTCTCTACCTGATAAAAACTGCATAAATAGCAGTACAATAAACATGCCACAAGAAGCAACAACCATTCCAGCATAAATCTAAGCCACTTAGATCCTTTTTTACATGTACTAGCTGTTAATCATGCAAAAAGGAAGGAAATACAACTGATTAGGTTTATAATGAAATAATTCTTACTGAGCAAGTCCTTTCAACACTTCTGAATTATAATGTCAGTCATTTCTCTGAAACAGGGCATTGCTGCTATTAATGCACTACTCCATAACATGTTTTTCTCCTTTCTCACTTATAGACTGCTCAGACTTCCAGGGCTTTTATTGGAAAGACAGGCCTTTTGGCACACTTTCATTGCAGAGCAGCAACATTTTGATTACTATCTTCACATCTGTCTTATTTATTTAACCTAAAAAAGCAGTTGTTCTCCACTGAACTTCGCTGTTCCATTCGCCAGTGACCACTGGTTCACTGACTAGATACACTGAAACATCTCAAAACCATTTTATAACTACCACTGTATTTAAAAGGTTGAATATATGGGTCAGAGCCACAGTTGGTGCAAAATAACTTAAGTGCATTGACTTATTTCATATTATAGAAGTTAAGAAACTACTCCTATTCAATATGAAAACTGAGTAGAGCTTGAAACAGATCCTCCTATTCTGATCACCTAGCATACTTTATCAGTTACAAAACTACCTTGATGCTGCACCCTTGTTCGAACTCTAGTGCAGCTGATCATAAACTCTCTGTTTATCATACGTATTTCATAATGCTGAGAATACTTGGCTTCAAGAACAGTTTTTATCATCAGTACCATATCTTCTGAGAATCTTAATTTTCAAATAAGTGTCACACATACTGGTACCTTATTCCAAAAATGTTGTTTCTAGTCTCTTCCTATTCAAATTTAGTCTTACAAATAGTTAATACAAACACATTACATTATAATAATGTTCATTTAACACTATTGAATTTAAGTGTAAAAATAATTTTCATATACTGTTAGCTTCCAAGAAAATTCTCAGACTTCTGAGTTTATGGCATCACAGTGTATCATATACATACAGACTTTCCACACTGAAAACTCCTAGCAGCTGCTATATTATGCCTTTTCACAAAGATAAAGGATGGCAAAGAAATACATCTTAATTTGAACTAATCATCTAAGTTCATTCAAACTAAACAGCTGAATCTAAACCAGTCATAGGAAACAGTTTAGATTCTGACATGAAACATATGACAAGTTCCCACTTATTCAAACAATGGAAAAACAGACAAGTCTACTGAAGGTACATAATACAGTTATGGACCCACTGCTATCAATAAGCTCCAGAGATGCAATGTGATGATACTATAGCACCCTAAAACGCCTGTGCCTTGAAATGTGTTACTTCAAGTTTCTTTTGTTTTTGTCACTTCTTAAGTAAATTTGGGTGGTGGTGAACTACTTATCATACTAGATTCTTTTCCTATCTAACAAGATCAGTCCCTCCAGACTGGGTGGTACAAACACATTCACATCTCTTCAGCTTCTCCCTCAATCTACATAGCTTTCCTAGCTTTCCTAGCTCCTGTAAATTCCTATTCTGTTGATCTGCTGGAAAACATTAATCTCTGTGAAATGTCTTACAGGAGAAAGCCAGTGGACTACAGTATACAATTTTCATATTTCAGACTGAAACTGTGGTTGCAATACGATCTCTAATTTAACACAGAGCACTTAAAAGTCTGATAAATTGAGAGTAGACAGTTGCAATTTCTTTCCCCCACCTTTGCCAAATTAGATTGCTTCAAAATCCCTGATAGTATGTCTCTGATGCCTTAAGACCTGAATTGCTGTATTCATACCATAGTGTTAAAAGAGAAGCAAAAATGAAGTCTTAAAAAAAAAATAAAGCCTTCCTTTTTTTTTTTTTTTACCTTGTCCAGAACTCCCAAAGTTAAGATGCTCTCAAAACTCTCCAGCAGTGTGAAGCAGAGGACACGAAGTGCAGAGAAAGTTTTTTGCTGCTCACCTTAAGTTTGTGTGTGTGTGTGTGTGTGTGCAGAATGTCTGTAGCTCTGAATGGCAGGGGACCTGATTCAGGGCAGGGAGAGTCACTTTCTCCCCAAGAGGAAAAGAAAAAGCAACACGTCATAAGTTGAGTACGCCTCCAAGATGTCTTAATTACCCAGGAATGGAAGGAGAAGGAAAAAAAAACTCAGAAATCCCCCCGCAGGGTGGCCGGAGCCTGGAGCACAGCAGTGTCTCGATGCTGTGCCCTGTCCCTTCAAGATCTGTGTCCTGACGTCCTCCCTCCTTAGATCAGTGCCCTGATGTCCAGCCCTCCTGGATCGGCTGCTGAAAGTCCCCCTCGCACCACACACACGCCCCGGGGCAGGCGATAAAAACTTGAAAGAGTTTTGTTTCCCCCTTGTGAAGGGATCACTGGAGTTAGATGCGTGACACTCCGTGCAACTCGATACTTCCCACCACTTGCCTGTTTCACCCAAGCCCCCTACTCCCCCCTCATCCATCTCGAAGATGCTGCTTTATGCAAGGGAGGGAAGGTGAAGCACTAGGACCAGGGAGAAAGGGAAAAGTTGGATCTAACAGAATCTTACTGGTTTTGGCCCCAAATCCTTCAAAGCTTCTCCCATGACACCAGAAGACACCCAAACTACCACGGATACCACAGCCTGTGTGCCCCCCAAACCCTAGATCCAGCCAAACTGTGACCCCCAATCCCCTAAACTCAAACCAGTCCATAGAAAACAAGTCCAGCTGCTTCTTCTAACCTGGAAAGACTGGCCAGCAGAACACAGGAGCTGCAAATGCACAGATTCTGCTGGATCCATTCAGATTTGGCCCTAACGCTCCTCATTTCACAGCATAACTAGAGTCCCCATCAGGTCTCAACACAATCGTTGCATGGAAAAATGCCTCCCCACTGTTGCATCCCTGCATGTGTGAACCCCCGAAACCCAGAGCTGGCATTTAGATTTTACTGGCCCTTAGCAATGTTGGAAGCCCACATTTTCTATTTATTTCTAAAATAATTTTAGAAAATTTTCTGAAATAATTGCATTTTCTAAAAGAATTGCCTTGCTCCTGCTTCACTGGGAAAATATGGATCGTGTTGCAACTGGTCCAGCAGAACTACATAACGCATATCTCATAAGTGCATCCTGCCAACTTTGAATCCCCCTCAGCCAGATTCTGCAAAATAGAAAGAACATGTAAAATCTTCTAGTGCTCTAGGAAACCAGACTCTGTTCCAGACTGACACAACAACTGTAAAATATGTATCCTGTTGATTTCAGACTGGCACAATATGTACACTGTTGCTTTCAGATGGCTCCCTTTTGCTCAGCCCCCAAATTCTATCAGCTAACTAGAGAAGTGCTATTGCAACAGCTCCATTGCAAAAAATCAATACACTGAAGCAATCCTGGTGAATAGATCTGGAAAAATATTTAGAAAAGCACAGCTTCACAGTGTTAGAAGGAACTCAAGGGCTATGTACCCCTGGCTTTTGCTGACTCTTACTATTTTGGTGCAAGCTGCCAATGTACCATTCATATAAGCGATCCATGGTGTCACTTCAGACAGTTCAGGGCAACAGCACATCTTGGTACTAGAGGAATGCAAAATTCCTATCCAGCACCTGGATCTTGCTGGATTGGAGCCAGTTTTAGCCACAAGTCTCTTATCCATGTAAAAATGGTGCTTCGTATATCTTGGCAAATAGGTGACAGAAATGTGCAAGTATAAGCCTGTATCAGGACCTTGGTCTTCATCTAGATACTCCTTTACCTATTAGACAACAAGTGTAATCGTCTTATTAAATGAATAGCTAAATCCATAGCCTACACCACTGAGATTTTCAAAGCTGTTTTTTGAGATTTGGGTATGCACCTACTATTGAAAATATGTTAAAATTAAAAAAAATAATATGAGTGTCTAAGTTCAGACTATTCTGAAACTCTGACTACTATTATATATATATATATATATATATATTTCAGAATATATATAATGGGTCAGGTTATAATGGGATCATTGATATCTGATGGATCAATTCTATGGCAATGCTCCAAGTGTTGTTGGATTAAATGTGGTTATATCTGGAATGATTCAGATGCCAGACCTAGGCCATTGTGACTTCTCTATCACACATGCATATAGCTTTATCTGATGTAAGAGAGTGGTCTAAAGGTCTAAAGCTGGCTAATACAGCAGAAGCAAATGCAGCTGTTTTGTATGCAGGGAGGAAGGCTCCCAAAGAAGTCAGCCTAATCACCCTGACTCCCAAAGGTCAGACCCAGGGGATTTTTAATCTTCGCTCATCGTTTGGGAGATATCAAGGTACAGGCATTTTTGGTGATGTAAGTGCTTTTGCTTTTTATTTAGGCATAAGTATTTAGGGGGACTTGGGATCAAAGCCTGGCTGTACCCAGTTGGCCTCACTGATTTATTTTTATTTTTATTTTTTGCTAGGCATGAGGTGCTAATTTTTTTAAGGCGGTGGAAATTGCTTGGACTTGCTCTGCATTCTTATATCAAGATACTGAAAATTTGGGGCCAGTGTTTAAGGGGATCCAACTTTTCACCTTGTACTTCAAATGAGGTAAATGTAGGGGGCCCAGCACAGACACCAAGCATCAAAGCAGAGGTGGCATGTAACAGAGTCCATCTCAACGACTCCACATGTCATCCAACAGCACTTGGAGCATTGGGGTAGAATTGATCCAGCAGATCTGAAGGATCCCGTTATTTATATATATAGCTTAATCAGGATAGTGAGAGTTTCAATATGTGAGATGGGCTTTTTTGGGCACTTTTAAACAGGGATAACCCACTGCCTATATTTAGTGTGAGGAATGCTTTGGGGGTGCAGGCCGATGCCCACAAACGCCAGGGTCAGACCCAGAGGAGCCTACACACCCTGCACGGGAATGACCAGGGAGGGAGAGAAGATCCCAGGACACAACCCGCCCCAAGAACAAACAGGCATGTATTTATAACACCAGGCAGAATATATAGGTCCATTGATTCCCGCCTTGAGCAAGCAACTCTCGTTGGAGCGGAAACGGCTTCATATTTCAATAACAGAGCTACCTTTGATGGAGCAGGGAGGGAAAACACATCTCAGGAAGAAGGGAGGGCCGGGCGGGGGACCAGGCGGCCCGGCGAGGGGTGGCAGGAGGAGAGCTTGAAGGGGGGAGGGAGGAGCTGTGGGGAAATAAGGTGATGTCAAAGGAGGAGGAGCAGGAAGGGGCCGAGATGCGGCGGGAGGGGGGCTGTGCCTGCCGGGCGATGCCCCGGGTGCCGGCGGAGGCGGGCGGGCCGGGGCAGACAG